TGAAGATTTGTATGTATTCTGTGTTGGAAGATGGACGTCTGTCGAAAGTAGTAAGATTCAGGTTCTCACATCCTGTGCCGAGGTCAGGACTGTGTTATCAGCTGTCAGGTTTGGTGGCGATGAGGACACCGCCACCTCTCCCTATATCAGTCCCTCTGTCTTTGCATATCACTGTCAAACAGTAGAGGGGAGGGAAGGCTTCCGCAGAGTCTATGTCAGGTGTCAAACATGTCTCTGTACCTGTTATAATGTCCGGATTAAGTGTCATTAGCGTGGAGAAGTTGGGTCTTTATTGATATGATGCTGTGGAAGTTAATGTTGAGTCGTAGAGTTGAGGTGTTTGGGCGTATCTACATTATACAAATTATTTTTTTCAGATATCGAAAAAAGGAAAATCCATACTCACACAATACCCCTCATGGTGCTCATCCTGACCAGCATGGCCACCACAATGACCACAATCATGACCACAGACGTCAGGGAAATCTTTGCCAGGCGAGTGATGTTCCTGAAAATAACTCCCAATTTATGTGTGTACGTCAGAGATGTTCTATGATTGTGCTACTTCACTTATCTCTATTTTCTGTGTAGGACTGACATCTTTGCTAATGATGTGTCATACTTCTTATAGTTTATATTCTTGAAATAGATGTTACATAAAAAAAACTTTTCTTCGATACAAAAACAAGTACATACGTTATATCTACAATTGATATGATAACATATATACTGAAAATAGAATATATTTGGTACCACTGCCTTTATATCAGCTATATATTTTACCTATATATCAAGGACATGGAGGAAATGCTGGAAAGAGAGACGAGAAGAAAAGAAAAGACAGAAAACGACATCAAAGTCATTTTTATTTCTTTGTAGTTTGAAGAGAAATTTCGAATAGCTTTTGTGCGCGCAGTGACCCAGGGGGCACAGATATAAACTTTTTTGTTAATAAGTTTTCATCTTAATGCATGGTTCTTAAAATTCGGTGATGAAAGTGAATTTGAGAATCAAATTAGTAAGGCGCTGAACAAAAAGGCTTTTTTTATTGTGCCAATTTTTTGACGGGTGGCTCTCGTTGATATTTACTACACACACCACACACACTCACTCACTCACTCACTCACTCACTCATCACTCACACACACACACACACACACACACACACACACACACACACACACACACACACACACACACACACACACACACACACACACACACACACACACACACACACACACACACACACACACACACACACACACACACACACACACACACACACACACACACACACACACACACACACCACACACACATATATAATAATATATATATAATATATATATATATATATATATATATATTATATATATATATATATATATAATATATATATTTATATTATATATTATACGCTACCAATATCTATATTTTCTATTTCTATCCATTTATCTACTTGCCCATCTATCTATTATCTATCTATCATTTAAATCTATATCTATCTATCTACCTGTTTATCTGTTTATGTATCTCTATCTATTCTATCTATATATCTATCTATCTTATTACACACGTACACGTATAATCGAAAACTACATAAAAAATATACACACAAACACACGCAAACATACACACATGGTTTGTCATTTAACTTCATTTTAACATCTAACAAATCGTTAATGTAATAACGAATAACGACAAGTTTCAAGTAAGTTAAACGGAACGTGTAATAAATTCAATGCAAATATAATATTCGTTAATCCTAAATCAGTCAAATCGATCACAAGTAAGTTAAACGCGGCGTGTCGTTCCCGTAGAGTTTTTCGACAACCTTGTTCTGCGAATAGCTTGTATTGATCTGACCCACCTGTAGAGAGAGAGAGAGGAGGGTAATCAGCAGGTGTGGACGCAGCCATGATGATTTCACGCCTCGCCAGCACAGACTCTTCGCGCGATTCCTGTGACTCGAATGAGCACTTTGGTTATTGTGTCCCTACAATGATGTTGTAACTGATAAGCGCTGTAGGAGAGGAGAATGTGATAAGCACCAATGAAGAAAGGAGTAGCATACGGAACACACACAGAAAAGTATAGTACATATAACATTCTGTCTATCATCATCTAGATATCTATCTATCATATCATACATACGTATATAAAATATGTAATATAATATGAATATATAAATTGATAAACAATAGATATATCTATAATACATATACATATACATATATGTGTAAACGTATATACATATACATACATACATTATATATATATACATACATATATATATATATATATTATATATATATATTAATATATATTATATATATCATATATATATATATATATATATATATACATATATATATATATATATATATAGTATATAATATATCGTGATGTATATATAATATATATATATACATATATAATATATATATAATATATAATATATATATATATATAATAATATATATAATATATATATATATATATATATATTAGGAGAGGGAGACAGAGAGAGAAATCAACAAAACGCCTAAGAAGGAGAAAGCAGAGACACAAGAGAGGAGGAGAGACGCATAAACACGAGCGCCAAGGCAATCCCAAGCACACCAAAATGCTGCATATCACATGTTTACCATCATTAGCCAAGTCAGAATGGCACAGGTCGGGAGCCTTCGGGATGTAATGGTAACACAATCTCTGACTAATGCATCACTAGATAATGAAGCCTATTTTGATAAGGCACTTCCATTCAACCTCGTATAAAAAGAAATAAAAAAATGGATGGCTCTCTTGATTGCTTGATTTCCATTTCGCTGTCGTTGTCATAATACTTAAAGGATTTTTTTTTTCTTTATTGGTCATTGTTTGAATTGTTTCCTGCAAGATTATGAGAAATTTATCGAATTTATTTGTTGTCCTTGTCTTTGATTCGACACATATCATCCCTAGCTTATTTGCTCCCCCGTTCTAGGCTTCTAAACTTCTCTCTCCCTCGATTTTTTTTCTCTCTCTTTCTCTCCCTGTCGCCCCCTCCCCTCCTCTCTCCTCCTCTCTCCCCTACCTTCCCTCCCTCAATCCTCCTCTCTTTCTTCTCATCTTCTCCCTTCCCCCTTCTCTCTCTCTTTCTTACTCCTCCTCTCCCCCTCTTCTTTCTCCCGCCCTCTCTCCCCCTTCCCCTCCTCCCCTTCTCCCTTTCACCCTCTCCCTTCCTCACACCTCCTCCTCCTTCCCTCACACTCACAGATAAAAGGGTAGAAGACTGCAGACACGACGTCACGATGAATCCTGGTCTTCCGAAGGCTCTGCTGACGAGCTCCTGGTACGTGTTGGCCTGTACGGTCCGTGCCACAGCGATCATGAGGCAGAGGAGGCGTCCGTGATGAGCGACACCAGCACCAGCAGGAGGAGGCCGACCCCGAAGCCTGCCTCGTGTAGAGCCAGGGGCATTCCTGGGGAAAGGCATGTCATTTGCGGGTTAAGGGAAGATATGGGGCGTTATGGGTGTTTTATGGTATGTTTTATTCGGTGGATTTGGCGGTGTGAAAGAGGGGATAGAATAAGATGAAAACGGCAACAACAAAGCGAAATAATCAGAATAACAGATGTAGACATAGATAACAGATTTCCAAATACATCACCGATATCTCTAGCACAACGAAATTAAAGAAAAAAGGAAAAGTTATATATCTTCAAGCTCTACACACACATGCAACGAATTACCATTCATGAATACTGATAGCTAGAGACCGGAAAAACACGCAGAAAAAAAAAAAAGGAAACATAAATCCAGAGAGCAATAAACACTCCACATTCCATATAAATTTCAAACTCCAAATAGATTCCAAAGAATTTAATAAAACTTTCAAATGAATATCAACTTAAATCATGGTAATACAACGTTTCTTTTTTAATCCACACGTAATAAAGGACCACAAATCTGCTCATCACGATTTACAATGATATACGCTGATCGATTGACGCCTTGACACCGTAACTGACTAAAAGCGTCGACTTCGAAATATTCCCTGTCAAAAAAGGAGAAAAAATCTGAATATTTTCGCATCTATCTCTGCTCTCCCCCTCAAAAAAAGAAGAAAAAATCTGAATATTTCGCATCTATCTCTGTCCCCCTTCAAAAAAAAAGAGAAGAAAAGAACAAGCAAGAAAAAAAAGAAAAGGAAAAAAAAAAAATCGTTTACTTCCGTTTCCCTTAAAAAAAAAAAAAAAAAAAAAAACTACTTTTGCCTTTCCAAACGATTCTACCGGGAGGGTATTAGGGGAAAAATTATCTCTTTAGTGGAAACAGACAGATCCAAAATTACCTGTCGAGGCCTTTCCGGAACCTTTGTCTCCTGTATCTGAAGCCATCATGCGTTTTTAGCCGTTTTTTTTTTTTTTTTGGGGGGGGGGAGATGTCGCATTTGTTTTGTTTTCGAGGGTGTTTGGGAGAGAGGAAGAGTGGGGCGGGTTGGAGAGGAAGGAAGAGAGAAGGAGAAGAGAGGAGGGAGGAAGAGGGGAGAGGGGGAGGTTTGAAGAGGGAGGGGAGGGAGAAGGAGGGAGAGGAGGGAGGTATAGAAGAGTTGGAGGGAGAAAGGAAGGAAGGAAAGGAGGACGTAAGAGAAGCGAGAGGGAGAGATGAAGGGAGGGCTTGAAGAGGTGGGAGGGAAGAAAGGGAAGGAACGGGAGGGAGGGAGGTGAAGGAGGGGAGAGGAAGAGGATGGAGAGCCACAGGAGGGAGAAAGGAGAAGGGAGAAGAGGGGGAGGAGGGAGAGGGGAGGATGAAAGAGGACGAGGAGAAAGGAAAGGGAGGAAGGGAGGAGAAGGGAGGAAGGAAGGGGAGAGGAGGTTGAAGATGAGGAGAATAGGAGAAAGCATACAAAGAGGGAGGGAGAAGGAGGAGAGGAGATGGTTGAAGAGGGGAGGGAGAAAGGAGAAGGGAGGAGAGGGA